CACGTCCCAGAAATTCAAACAGAAATCCATCGTCTTGCCTGCCCTTAAGCAAGTATATTAAACTGCAACAAGTGACATTTTCATAGCTACGCTGTTTGACCTCTTTTTCAATCGACGCAGTTGTACAGGAATATGCGTGTATAAACGAAGAAATAATCGATCTTCAAACACGGCTCTACAAATTTAAATAACTTTTTATTATTGACTATAAATTTTCAAATTGAAAAATAAATAATTACAAAGATTCTTTGCGAAACAACTCCACACAAAATATTTTCCTTTTTCTTTACAATACAACCGAATAAAGTATGTTAATATAATAGAAAATAGACTATGTCTAGACATGAGAATGAGTGTGTCATGTGTTTATGTAGTCTTATGTATGCATATAATCTGCTAGTAGCAGCAACTAGTGGATAGCAGGCGAAAGCTGCATTGATAACACTGTTTAAAGCTGTGTTGACAAATAATTCGGTTCGTATGTTTTTTGTGTTTCTTAATTCCACACCGTTAAGCCTTTTTTTAAATATAATATAGACGAATAAATATGCCGAAATGTGAGTAATTAAGTAAGTGTGAGACTTTTAGCTTGTACAACAGCGAATGACCTTGGTCAAAGGTTAAATGAAAAGCTAACTCTGCGAATCAATACGGTCGCTTTTATAACCGAAACATCGTCTCCAGAAAAATATATTTTATTAAACTAATAAGTTTATTAGTTAATAAATTTTTTCCCTATTTTCTTTCTATTTTCAGGGGGGGAGGTGTATTGTTGATCATATTCTGAAGTGATCCTACAAAATTTCATAGAAAATGATAAAAATAGTAATCTGGAATTTCAAAGATCTCAGCGTTTTATAAATAACTTCCCTGTTTGGTTAACATATGCGAATATAGAAATCCAAATCGGGAATCTACAAAATACACAAAACGAATCAAAAATCTGTGTGAGCCGGTTCTGTACAAAATATGAATTCCTACTGACAGTACTTAAATCATTTTGCATTATTCTACAATTATTAGGTTGGTGCAAAAATAATGACGTAAGAATGTCGTTTTTTGACGTAGAAAATTACGTCAAAAAACGACATTCTTACGTCATTATTTTTGCACCAACTTAATATTTGACGGGGTTCTACACAGTGTTATACTAGTTTATTGCATTAATCATTTGATCCTACTGAAGACAATCTTCAAACTACCATCGTCGTCCCCAAAAACAATGACTATGACATTTTTGGTTGATTTTTACCTTGCATTTTTTCGGTCGTGGAGGACTTGAATTTCTTCAGTGCATGAACTTTTGGTTGTTTTCCAGATCATAACAGTGTAACGATGATTCAGCCAAGGTGACTAATTATCCCAGAAAAAAATCACACTAGATCGCTGAACATGCTACAAAACCAATTTGGAATTCTCTACTTGATATTGTTTCTGGCCGATATTCACACATTTTGTTCCCTGATTGGCTGATAGATTCTGCATATCCAACGACTTACGATATTGTTGAGGGAATGATCTGTGAAGAATATTTTATTTATAGAGATAGTGGACGCGCCGGAGCTTCCACAAAACAAGAGAGTAAGAATCAATATACAAAAAGTAGCATACAATTAATAACAGCGGATTTTATAACCCGAGAAAATTATTCGAAAATATTTCCTTTCAAACCCCTTTTCAGGTATAGAAACTATAGAGTAGTGTCCATGATCTTAAATACCAAATTCTTATAAAAAGTCCAGCTTTTTGCCAGCTCCGTGAGGAGGTGTATTGTCTAGTAAAAAGTTAACTTCCTTCTGTCACTTCTCCCATCGTTTTTCCTCGTTTAAAAAGTTAGAGTATTTATTTAAAAAGTTGGAGTATTTGTTTAAAAAGTTAGAGTATTTATTTAAAAAGTTGGAGTATTTGTTTAAAAAGTTGGAGTATTTGTGGTTTATGATTTACTTTGTTTTACGACATACCAACTTCAATGAATTATTCAATGCCGTCAAGATTTTTAGGGTAGGCTTGTAGATCAGGTTTCATTGACGTATTTTTATAAAGAGGGTTTTTCTTGAGATTCCAATATATTGCTGGTAGTTTGTTTTTTTTTTTCAAAAATGTACTGCCGGTAATATTTTATTAATGTATTGCTGGTAATATTTTTTTTTCAAAATTCTATGCTGTATTTTTTATTATAAAAAGCATTTTTATACGTTCATAGCCTTTTGACTCCAGTCTGGAGGTTAACTATTTGACCATAGCTGGGACGCTAATATTTGCTACAACCTCGGATCAGGATGGACCTGGGAAGAAACAGCAAAAACGGTGATTCAACGTTGCTTATAACCTCCCGATCACAGGCCTTGCTACCAGATGTAGTTTATCCAGGACGGAAAAAGTTAGATTAGTAATCGTTATTAACTGTTTAGCTGCTCTAAAGAGAGTTGCTCATTAGAATGTTTTACTTATCCCAGTTAGCGGGTTTATGATATTTACTGCTGACTTTTTTCGCTATGGAGAATGCATGAGTCACCACAGAAGTCACCAGAACATTGTTAAAAAAAGCGTGTTTCATCAACAATGTCAAGTCGTTTCAGAAAACTATCACGAGATGGCTGAAATTGATGTAAAATCGTCTTAGAATGACAAACTCAATATCTTGTTTCAAGTCCATATTCAACCATTTTGGTATTCAATTGATTGACAGCTTCGGCATATCTCAACTCTTCATGCATTATAAATCCAATGCGAAGTTCTTATCTACAATAACTTTTGGTCTAAATCAATAGAAAATTACAAAATCATTAGACTGTTTCACGATTTTTAACGATTATGTAACTAATTGGATTAAAAAAAAGTACAGCTCTTTTGCATCGCCTCAATAAATATTAGAATGTGTTTTCGATGTAAATGTGATGGATACTAGAGATTAAAATATTCTAAATGCTACTATTTTAAACGAATTTACCTTACTTTATACATTTTAATTACAATAATAATTTCGGTGTGAAAAATTACCCCGTATCACAAAATTATGAGATTTGTTATTAACTTAAAAACTTACACCACTTCATATCAGTCAGTTACGTGCCATATGTGATACACGCTTAGGCGATCATGTATCTTTCGATACATGACTGACGAGGCATTTTTCCCACAGTAGGTTGCCATTTCTTTCTGCGGTAGACCAGTTACCATCCAAGACTATAGAACTCGGTCTGTCCTGCTATTTACCCATAGCTGAGGTGTGTGTGGGGGGGAGAAGTAGAGGATTCATACCTTTCCCAAGGATATTAGCACGTAAGTGAATGTAATGGATTTGATTGGAATTTGAACTCGGTTGTCCGATTCCTCAATCCGAGCCGCTATTCATTACGCATCCGTACCTCCCCACTTCATATTCTGAAACGAAAACAAAAATTTTGATGTTTAAAAATTACCCCACATCACATTTCAATATTGAATCATGAGTTCAGTAACTGCCTATAGATGAGGTATTGTAACTATTTACATTATTTACATTGTTCGAACTATTGTCCTCATCTTTATTTTCAACGTTTCGGCAGTTGTACGCTCCGGCCTTCTTCAGGTGATATACGCTGGGATTTCGAAGCAAACCCTTTATTTAGTCCACTTGGGTAAATTGGTCTAAGTTTCAGTTATTTCCTTTTAATATCTCAACTATTCAACTCTTTGAACTAAGTCACTGGATTACTTCCACGAACGCTTTCATCCACTGGGCCATGTGTTCTTGACGTTCGGTTCAAAATTCCAACGAATATCACCTGAAGAAGGCCGAAGCGTACAACGGCCGAAACGTCGTGAATATGACAATAAAGATGAGCGAAACAGTGCCAACAATGTAAATAGTGTAAATGGGTTTTGGTATTTACACTTTACTAAAATTTTATATTTGTTATATTAGCATTATTTTAAATGGTTTAACTTTAAAAATTCGTTTATATCGATTAATTATTAATATTTATTGTGACGGTTTGAGACAGCGTAAAATATTAAAGATGCAATAAGAAACGGACATATTAAAATCAATTAGGAAAGAATAGTCAAAATAAAAATAATTATAGTTATCTTAAGAATGTCAATCGAAAAACAAAAAAGGAGAAAAAAGTTTAACTGGTTTTTATTGTTTTCTCTTCATAAGTATATCAGTTCTACTCGCCTTTACCAGTGTGGGATCGTAAGATTATCCAATGTTATTGTCAAATTAAAGAGAGAACTTCAGCTTTGACTGAAATTTCTAATTTTCTATCGTGAATTTCTTACAAATTTCTTTCTGAAATTGTGATAGAAACAGGTTTTAAATGCCATAAAAAAGTAAGTCTTGAGTAGCATTAAAAAGCTGGATTGCGAAACAACACCACACAAAATATTTTTGTTTTTCTTTAAAATACAACCGAATAAATTATGTTAATATAATAGGAAAATAGAATATATCTAGACATGAGAATGAGTGTGTCATGCATTTACGTAGTTTTATGTATGCATGTAATCTCCTAGTAGCAGCATGCTGTGCATTCAAGTACGTTTTGTTGACTGATTGATTTGTTGTGTTTTATCAACCTTTTGCAGGTGATATTTAAAGCCAGAAAATATTTTTAGTGTGTATTTTTGTGTAGATAAGGATTTTACTGATACAAGTTTTATTAATGACGACAACCGGGAACTGACGCTGCTTACCGGCGCGAAAGCTTTCACGCTCACGTTTTTTTTTTGTTTTGTTTTTTGTCCACGCGGCATTAGTTTTCGCGGGAAAAAATATAAAGTTGCATGATACTTTTTGAACGCACCTCATATATCCTTCTGCATTAGTATTACGTGTTCGAATATCTTAAATATGAAGAAGGGGGCAGAAGAGGTAGATTTGTACCTTTTACAAAGATATTTGCCTGCATGTGAATATAACGAACTCAACTGAAATAAGAAACCGGCTCTCCGATTCCTCAATCCGATCCGTTATTCATTACACCACCCTTACACACCCACACATTGGAAATACTAGCACCTGGTATTTGCAGACGCGCACCCATCTAGGTAATGACCAGGCTCGACGTTGCTTAACTTCGGTGATCGTACGAGAACCGGTATTTCAACGTGATATGGTGGTAAGGCTTAAGGACGGTATTCCAATAACAACATAGAATAATTATAGGGATTCAATTCAGAACTTCTGACATTATGAAGCAGGCTAGAAACTTGTCAGTCGAGGTGGGGATGTGAAAACAACAACGATGAGGAGAATCGTCCGAGTAACAATTTTTATTTCAGTATTTCTGATCGAAGAAACAATATCTTCACTGGCCAACTATTCCCGAAGCTTTTATTTGTCACAAAGGCCTGGGGTTGGGCAGAGAGTCGAGAGGTACCAAAATAAACACGGAAATTATTTGTTATAGTCTCACCCTGGCCATTTATATCTACTCCAAGTTTCATCGTTTCCCTGCGTTTTCGCCAGCAGATTCCGCCTCGATGACTACGCCAGTACGGTCACCATGGCGACCATCGAAACATGGTCGTCGATTCGCAAATGGCGACGGCAGCATAGGAATTTCTAATCACGTGTCCTGCAGAAATGGCGCGAACAAGAGAAAAAAAGAGCTAAAAGAAAATAAATAAATAAAATTTCGAAGAAAAGCAGAAAATGTTGAAATACAACGGAAGGAGGTTATTTTGTTGAGGGTAAAAAACATGAACAATGAAAAGAAAAGAAATGTTTTGGTTACACAGTTGGTAGAAAAATGCTTTCCTGGAAAGAGACGGGAAAGACGGTGAAACGTAGTTATAAAATAATAAAATAATAAACATTAATAATAACTATAATAACAATAAAGTAACAATAAAGATGTAGGAAAATATGGCAAGAGAGTGAGAAAGAGGGAGCGTTTGGGATGGGAAACTCTTGGAACTGTAATTACAGGCAGCATATTTATAATAGGAAATGATGACAAAAAATGGAGGTCGGAAAAAAGACTGTATGAAAATGAATAAAAAAAACTGACAAAAAATGGATATCAGATAGAGAGATACAGAGAAAGAGCAACAGACATAGAGTAACAGAGAGAGGGGGAGAGGAGAGGGGAGAGGGAGAATTGGAGAGAGGGGGGAGAGAGGGGGGAGAGATGTTGGAGAGGGTTGGATTTGTAAGTGTAACAAGGAACGTAAACATTCACATGGACACGAAAAAAAGAACATATATCTCGAATACACTGATCTAGAAATAACCTAGCCTCACCAACCCGTCAATGAGAAAAAAAAATATTCAAATTATAAAAATATTTTTCGATTGTTATGTTTTAGAAGGCTTTGGCAAAAGTTTTCGGTATTTTTATTTCAACAAAATTTCTATTCGGGTATGTTCATGGCATCATTGTTCAGTCAGAAAAAAGCATTTTCCGCCGATCAGCTCATATTGATTGAATAAAGGCTTCCAGAAATTTTTGATATCTTCAAAGTTTTGGAATCATTGATGTGCGTCAGAAAAAAAAATTTCAGTCTAAACATAACAGGCTAACAGAATACGCTGTAAGTGGAATATACTGCGTGAGAACTGCATATGCCAGTTTTCATGAACATTTACAATAATGGAAATTTTTTTTTTATGCAAGAAATACCGATTAGATTTTTACCCCCAAAAAGCTACATTTTATTCAAATATGTCAAATACACGCGATGAATTATTCAACCCTAATGTTTGTACATATTAATATGTCGAGTCTGCTAAATTTCTCTACATTTCATCAGTTTTCAAGTTCCCAGGCCTTCTGGAGTGTTCTTTGACCATAAACACAAACACACTCCTTTCTTAAATTTTGCAAACTTTCTCTAGAATCTTTGTAGCTAATGAATCATTGCTATTTATTTCAAAGATCCATTGATAAATAATCGTTTCCCCGTCCGCAAATTAAAAAGGAAAGGTCAAATAAAAAAAAATTGTCGAAGATTTTCCCTAACATTGTGCCATAATATTTTTTTATTAACTTAAGGTTTGTTAAAAGTTAAATAAGGTCAAATAGTGTGAAATAAAGTAGAGAAGATTGTGTTGCGACGGTTTTTTTTATACAAATAGTTTATTTGCTTTAAAAATCAGAATTCCTGATCTTGGCTTTTATCAAAACTTGAATATTGATTTCTGAACTGCTGGGAGATATGCTTCTAGCCCAAATATCAAGCAAAAGATTTATGATGATAGATGAGTTCCATGATCAGGTGTGGTCGTAGTGTCACTATTCAGCTAAGCACCTGACCAGTCCCCTCCACATATGTGGATCTAATATCATGTCTTGGGCAAATAGACATAGAGGAGCCCATCGCTCTCCAGGCCAAACATCAACCGATATACTCCACCTGGTCAGTGACTTCTGTCTAGGAATACCTCTACACACTGATGCCCTGTTATCACTACACTGTCTACATACATAACTATGGAGCCCACTCTAGCCCATTATGAGAGATGGCCGTTGACCCAAGAAGTCCTTGTTCTTAATCCTATTGGATAAAGAGCTCCACTCATCGCTAGAAAAGCCCTAGCCGATTTAATCTCCGATGTTATATATATATAGATATATATGCGAAGTTGATCTTGCGTGAAAAAGAAAATCAACGTGCGCGCTCTATACGTCTGTACTCTAGGTGTAACCGCATGGAAATGACGCTGTTTAGTGACGTGAAACTTTTCACCTATGCGCAGAAAGGGTGGTGTCACCTTTTATCCAAAGGTTTTTGTGCACGCGGCATTAGTTTCGTCGGGAAAAAATAAAGTGGGATGATGCTTTCTGAACGCAACTCAGATTAGTATTACTCGTTTGGGTATCATAAATATTGCAGTCTTTGAGTTGTAGCATATCTACGGACGATAATTGGTATGTCCCCATTCACATAAATACAGTAGTAAATACTGTATGTTGATCTGCAGTTGGCAATTCGTCTCCAGCCGTGCTGGTCAACTTTCTGTCTTGGGGCAGAGAGGATCCGCAGACGATGTTTGTAGAAGGGCAGAATCTCGTCTCGGAAAACAGTTACCCGACCCCGTTTTATACGGGGTCTACCGGGAAATTTTAGCCGAGCCTACGGGCTCGTATACCCCACAACAAACTCGGCCTTGTTCCACATCTGACCGCATGGAGCGATTGGTAGATATCCTGCAGTTGGAGATTCATTGTGGAATTAACTTGACTCACTTCTAACAGTTGACTACTACTTCTACGCGCCGCTGGCGAATCTTATATGTGTTGTTCTTATCCTAAGTATTATTGTTCATTACCAAACTTCCTTTGATTATTCTATTCAGTAACCTTCTCTAGGTTACATCACTTTGTTCCAATGTTTTAAACGAAACTGCACTGTTTGTGTTCTATTTTGGCCTAATTCTGTTGTGCGTTCTTTTCATTAGAATTCATGAGATATATTTCGTTGTGTAAGCTGATTGTCTCATGGAGCTCATATTTACTTTTACCTGGTTTCTTTGGCAGTGCTATCAAAAATAAAACTAGTAAATTCTTCCGGTATGTCAATATTGTTGTATGTTTCTTTTATTTTTCTGTAATTTTGTCAATGCCGAAATCGTCTAATGCTACTAGCATTTCGATTACAATACTTTCTCATTTCAGGAAATATTTTTCTTCATAAAAAAACCCTGACATTTTCACCAAGGCGTATGTTTTTGTACACATTGATAAACCTTGCTATTTCATAAACCAATACTTCCATCTTTTTGATGTTGCAAAGCTCGGAATCCTTTTTTATGTTTCTAATCTCCTGTCCTCATTAATTAACGTATTGGCAGAAACATTTCTTCTTAAATTTCTTTTATCTTTCACCGATTTGTTGTTTTTTTTTTATTCTCCTCAGATTCAGGCTAATGTGGGTCTGGGCAACAGAGGTTATGCTTATCTTTAATTGATTTACTTGCTATCACCACACGCATATAATTTTTGGTAAAGTTTAACATTCGTACTCGCAAAAAAAAAAAAAATAAGCGAGAAAAGAGTGAATGCATAAATCAATGTTTAATATGCTTTGTTTTTTTTTTTATTAAAATTCCAAAAATATATTTTTAAAACAATCAAAATTGCCGACAGAGTATACATTAATAGGGGTATAAAAAAAACACTATCCGTTTGACACATTGTTTTTTTACGGGTACAAAAGTTAAACTAACAGGTTGGCTAAAAACCCTTGCTGTTACTTTTTTCTCATACGCTTATCTATCAGTAGTAATTTATGCCAAATTATCTAGTATATTGTCTTGCCTTTTGCGGTCATATAATTGAGGGTAGATTTCTGTAATCTCAACCAAAACCATCCGGGACCAAGCACACCTACTGAATGCACTCAACACGTATAAACACAACCATCCTTTCACTAGTCAAATTTCTTTAGTCATTATGACGGATATATTTCTCTGAGGTATTAATGCTGCCATGATTCCCTGGTTTGCATCTTACCATTACCGGTATTTCTTTTCATTTTCCAGTCTTTTTCCTCAGTTGTTCGCAGCTGTTCAATGACAGGAGTGTGATGAGGTATCAGTTGGGGCCGATGAAAGTCGCCGGTACATTGTTTAGATATTTCCTTTTCCATCACACGTAATATTAGTTCACTTCCCATAGTGTAATATTTATTTACTGTTAATTATAACAATAGTGGCACAAGGCAGAAAGAGAAGTGGGGAGAGGCGAATTTACACTAACTATCCTAAACCTATCTAATCCCATAGAGGAATGATTGCGAAATACTTTCCCCTCCCCAATTTATAGGTAAAACCACACAGATACATGCCGGGATATCTTCTTAGTCAAGAAGATGGGCAACTTCTCGGTCTTATCATGTGTTCTTGAAGTCAGAACGCTACGTTCGTTTATTCAAATTTGCTCTTGTGTATCAACTTAGCTTGTGTACTTTTTGTCTTATTACACTGGCTTTGTCTTGCATATGGTGTTTGATTACACAATATCAAGACTATATACATGTATGTTTGTTTACGAAAGTGCGCTTATGTGTGCATGTGTAAGTATGTGTGTGTAAATGGCTACTTCGATCTGAACGAAGATAAATTTCCGTTTGTTTTTGTTTTTTTTTTATTAAGAAATGAAAACAAAACGGCAT